CTTAAGTATAGTATTATGTTATCGTATAATATTATAATTATTTTGTTGCCATTTTTTTCTATTTTGTCTATATATTATTTTTATGTATAGATACATGTATAGATACACTGCATTTATTATTTATTTAATGATTTATTCGGCGCGCCGAAATTCGCGGATTTTAATTTGCGGACCCGAAATTTGCGGACTCGAACTTTGCGGACCCGAATTTTGCGGACCCGAACTATGCGGACACGAATTTTGCGGATCTGAGATTTGCGGACCAAAAATTTGCGGACCGACAATAGAGTCTACTGAACCCCGGAAATTTCAAAAATTTTAGCCTGCGGCGTTAGGATAAATTCAGACATCATGACCTTATGAAATGGCCATATAAATGATTTTTTAAGGAATTTTCTCGATTATTTAAATTATGAAATAATTTTAAGATAAGAAATTGATAAAAATTTTGAAAAATCAAGAAAAAATCATACGTCCGGTACTGATCATGGTAAATTCTGCCGGAATCATCGAAAAGTAAAATTTTTAATTTTTCAATTTTACTCAAGTGTCGGTCCTAAAATCTTGGTTCCGCAAAAATCAGGTCCGCAAATTTCGTGTCCGCAACCTTCGGGTCCGCAACTTTCGTTCCGCAAATTTCGGGTCCGCAAAGTTCGGGTCCGCAAAATTCGGTTTCCGCAAAGTTCGCGCCACGATTTATTCTTAATACTTAAAACAAAATGTGAATTCTTTGTGGTTAATAAATTTAATATTTAACATGTAAAATAAATTATAACTGTAAAATGGCTTCCTTGCACAAATCCATTGCCATGTTGTTGCGATTTTTTTTACTAGATATAAATTGTCATAAAATAATACAAATAATTGATGCGGCAACACTCAATCTTTAATGTACAGATTAATCTTGTTATGTATCGCAAAACAAAGTTTAAATTTTAATGTTTTAATTTTATTTTAATATTGTTTTGCTTGACAATTTTAAGTTCTATTTTATTCAAGTCCTTTCCTTTTTATCTTCAATTTACTCTAGTTTAAAATCAATTTTAATTTCAAATGATTTATTCAAATGTTTAAAAAATATAATTTAATAGAAAAACTTTAATAATTTTAAAGGAATATTTTGAAATAGAAATATTAAAAGATTGAAAAAGTGAATGTTAAGCCTATGAAATTCATTGATTATAAAGCAAAATTTAGGGCGGGAATTTAAAAAAGATGCGACAAAAAATAGGCGTGGTTTGAGTTTGATAACAAAAATTCAAAAAAATATAGGCGGTATTTGAATTTAAGGGCAAAAAAAACCAAAAATATTGGGATGATTCATTTTTAATATAAAAAAAATCAATTTTAAAGAATTTAAAGAAATTATAAAAAAATTTTTTTAAAGAATAAATTTAAAAGTCGCTTTTAGCGACATTATGGAACCTTAAAATATCCCTGTTACCATAATATTTTAAATAACTTCTTAAACATTTTTAGGATGTTTACTAAATTTTAAAATCAATTTATAATTTTATTTTTAATTTTATTAAAGTTATTAGGAAGATAATTTATGAAAAATTTAATAATTATTTAAAAATTATATTTGAACATTAATTATTTACTTATTAATTTAAAAAATATATTTATCAATTATTATGCACATTAAATTCTAATTAAATTTCTAGAGATTATCATTCTAAATTATCAAATTACCTAAACAATTTATTAATCAATTATCAATAAATATCAATTTTTGCGCAGAAAAACGTTACAATTAGATCAGAATCTTCCTCTTTTGCTTCTTTATGTTAACGCTTTAATTTCATGATAATTCCTCAATTCTAATATTATATCATTTATATTTATTAAATATCTATTATGTATGAGCAATCGTTGTTTTGCCTTTAATTTTTAATTTAATCTCTTATATAAACACCAACACGATTCTTTTATTAAAAGTAAATTTTCCAATTATAAAAATAAAACAAATTTTATCAAATTTTTAACTGTAAGTTCGTTATATATTAAATAGAATCTTCCATTTTGTAAATATTTTTAAAGTTTACAAAATTAGATTTAATATTATAGTATTATTTTAAAAATTAATGTTGTCTGAACTCGATAATTTAATTAATTAACTAACTAAATTTTATTCTTTAAAATAAACTTACTAATTAAAGTCGAATCGTGGATTAAAAGCTTTAATTTTACTTGAAATAGAAAGAGTAGATGATTTTGGGGAAATTGGCCAGTTTAAATAGGGGAAAATTACATCAGTATTTTAAGGAATAAATGTTAAATGTTAGAATTTAACAGGTGAAGATGATACATGGAAAAAAAAACGGTATTTTGGAATTTTAAGAGTGACAAATTGGAAAAATAAAAAAAAATATGAACATAAAAATGTACTTAACAATAAATGAATAATTTCGAAAATATCATTTAAATCGCATTAAATTATTTTTATATGTCGATCCTCGACAAATGTCTAAATCCTAAATGTTCTATATTTTTATGTAGCCAGACTAATATTAAATGATAAAATAATTCTACTTTATTTTTAATTTTATTGAATTTTGATTTATCATTAATTTTAAAAATAATTTTTAATTTTTATCTAAATACTATTATAGAAATTTAATGTAATAAATTTATATTTATTTCTTCCTACAACAATTTTTAGTGTAATGCTTATCAACAATTACCCTCTAACAATAATAAATCAATTGAACTATAATAAAAAATAATTAAATTTTATTATCTTTTAAAATTTAAACACAGTAAAACAAAAAGTTTAAATGATTGCTACTTAAAAACATTAAAAATAATAACCAGACTAATATTAAATGCCAGACTAATATTAAATGCACTTAGAAAATTTTTGATAATATCTGTTCCTTGTTTAATTCTCTATCATATAAGCTTGTTTTGATCCCATTATCTCTTATTTGAATAAAGTTATGGCATAAAATGCGTGCCCCATTTCTTTCTTGTCACCCTGTATATGCATAATTTTTAAATAATTTTTATTTTACATATAAGAATGTAATTTTATTTTTTGTTAAACAGCAAATTGATATACAACACAAATTGATATATGTCGGTTCAATGAATAACCATTCTATTGATTATGATAATCATGCTCTATAGCTATTTTTACTAATATAGGAATGATTTTTTACTGCCAATATCCTAAATGGAAAGTTGATTTAATGAATTGTTCATAAATATTCAGGCAATTATCAGAAATTTAAAATCAAAATTAAAATTTTTGCTTTTAGAAATCTTTGTTATAAACTTTGTTTTAGGGTTCATTAACATTTTTTATGTATCCATTTCCATTCACCATAGTTGGCAAATAAATTCCTCCCCATGAGGCCCATAACTGTTTGGACCTAAAAATACAATTATATTAATTATCATAATAAAAATTTTATAATTGTTACAAAGAATAATATTATTTGTTTGGAAACTCATGAAAGTGATGTTCCCAATTGTTGGCATTTTTATAATTTTTTTTTGATTTTTAATTAATTATAATTAATGAATATAAATCATATTTTCATAAATTCTAAATTTTATTTAATACATATTACTTATTTTTTATTTATATTTTATTATTTATTTTTTATTTAAAATTCGATGGCAAAATTTGAACTATGCCCTTCAATTGTAGCAATCCAAAGTAATAAAGCAATATAAGTTATTTCGCTTATTAATTTGATAACTTTTTACTTGTAGTTATTAATATTTTTCAAAAATTGTAATTATTCTGAACAATACTCGATAACAGAAATATATAGGAACAAGGCTTTACTTAGAATCTACATGATAAAATAAATAGTTTATGGTAGTTTGAATAAATCCAACGAAATGAAACACCGTTAATTAGAAAATTAAACAGAAATTAATTTTATTCATTGGTATATTGAAAGTTAATCATTAAATAAAAATAATTAAAATTATTATAAGATCTTTTAATCAATTTATATAATCGTTTCTTTCTAAAATTAATTTAAAATTTTTACTTATTTTTAATTTAAGACTAAATAAATTAATTTATTTAATTCAAATTAAAAAATTTTTCTTTAATTTTATTTTCTAAATACGTCATGTAGAAATATAATATAGTATTGTTTTATCGTATAATTATTTTGCGGCGCTGAAAAGTGTAAATATGGCATATTATTCACTATAGTTTCGTTGCCTTTCCACTATTTCCTAGAATGAAGCTCAGCCCTTTTTGTAAATTCTCGCTCTAAAATTCTTAACTTAACAAAAACCTCAAAATGTATAACTGAACAAAAATAACAATAAAAGCCCAACTCCTCCGGACAGTTATTTTGCTTATTATGCCCCTCCGGACAAAACCTAAATGGCTCATTGAGCGAAACTCACAAAATGTCCCATCCTAATTTCGTCAATCTCAAAATGCCCAAGAGAGTAAAAATACTCAATTCGTCGAATTATAAAGTCATGTGCAATTTTAAAAACGTGATTATTTTTTTGTTAAATTTCAACCTTTTTTGGAGTTTTGTTGGTGTTAAATTATTAAATAAAGAATAATTATAATTATACGTATTTTCTAATCAATATTGATTTATTTCAATATTTAGCTAATTTTTGGCATTTTTTATTTTTTTTTTACATTTTTATATTTATTTACATAGTTTTTTGAATTAATTATTTAAAAAATTTTATTAAAAAAATTTTTTAAACCTTTCTGTACCCATCTTTGATAAAATGAAAACGAATAAGTATATTTTTTCTTTTTCGTACACAAATAAAATTTTATAAAGTGTGTAAATTATTTATTTAGCTTGAATTAATTATTGGTTTTTTAAATGAAATATTTTAATTTTTAAATTTATTATCAATCTTTTAATAAAATTATTTATTAAATTTTTTAATATACATACATATTTAACTATTAACTACTAAAATATGAATAAGAATAACGGATTGTCTCTAATACAAGCCCTGGGCTTCTATTTTTCAATACCCCTCATTGAGTGGGCTTCTATTGGGGCATGGGCTTCTATTGGGGCGTGGGCTTTTATTAGAGACAATCCGGTAATTTAAATGCAAAAAATTCGTTGTTGTGAAATATGTGGGAAACAAAGTGAAGGCAGAAATTATAATGTTATTAGTTGTCCAAGTAACGTTCTAAATTTTTTTTGTTATTCTGAAATTATTTGGGATGTTTTGTTCTTAACTTTATTTCTTAAGTAAAATAATTAAAATTAAAAGAAATTTTAAAGTTACATAATTCTTTTTCTTTTAAGGCTGTAAGCAATTTTTTCGGCGTACAGTTTTATATCAAAAGGTTGTCAATTGTAAACGAAATAAAAAGTGTGATATAATAAATGGTTGGTGTAATAATATTAATTAAAAATAAGTAACTGAAATTGTATTACTTATATCAGGTGATAAATGTAGAGGTTGCCGTTTTGACAAGTGTTTAATTGAAGGAATGGATCCTTTATTGATTAAAATTGATGATATAAATTGCCGAAAAGAATTTATTGAAATGTTGGAAAAACGTCGAAATAAATTACAACAAACAAAATCAAAAGATTTATATCATCAAGAACATAAAAAAACAATTTGTGTTATAAATAATAAAAAGTTCAATGAATATAAACAGTCAACAAGTAATCAAGAAATTTGTATAAGCAATAAATTATACTTTAATGACACAACAATTGGTATAATATTATTAAATAAAAAGGTTTTTAAAAATCCGGCATCACACATTATGTGACGTGGTCCAACTCTATATAGTTGATTTTAATTTTCATATATTCGCGACTCCGAAAAAAGTTTAGAGTAGAACAGAGGTTTGTCTTAAATTTAAGAATCTATCACAAAGCTCTTATACTGTGTCCAACCAAAATATTTAAAATATTTAAGTATAATTTATTTAACTTATTAAAATAATTTTGAAATATAATTCTTTATTAAAGGTCAACAAAATAATTTCATATCGTCTAATATAAATGCTGAAATCAGTCAAGTAAACAATTAAAAATAATATTTTTTTTGGAAATATTTTTTTACTTATAGTGGGAATTTTTAATTCAAATTTATGAAGCACAAAACCGAATTAGAAATTCATTTATGGATTATTATGAACAACAATTTTTATCTGCGGATTTTAATTCATTACAAGATATTCTACTTTTTGGGCCAAATATTATTACGAAAGCATCAGAATTTCCGGTAAAAATTAAACAATATTCTCAGAAAATATCAGTAATTTATGTGTGGAATGTTTGTCTTTTAAACTTGGATTTTCGTACGGTCCGTAATGTGTTAGATATAAATTCCGTTGCTAATAGTAATTATTGCTTATCACGCGATTTCAGCATACTCTCAACCAGACTTGCACATGGACAGGGATTTTGCTATCCATATTGTAGGACTTTTAAGGATAAGGCTGAGTCCGTAACCTTTCTAAATAATTTCAGACAACACAAAATAAGCTTTTTTACTTTTCTTTTTAAGTAAACAAAATAATATAAATTAATAACGAACGAAAATTAAATGGGGAGGGGTTTACAATATAAGAGATGATAAATTAATATATGGGGTCAAAATAAGGGCAGGGAAACGAGAGGAAATATAACACTATTTCTTTTTCGGCACGACAATATTCTGATACACTCTGTCCCTAAAATATACATCCACCTATATTTTGTGTCATAATTCCGTACCTACTTTCTTTTTATTTTTTCATAATATCAATATATAAGTTTACTGGAATTTTTGCAGATTTTTCCTAATGCTGGAAATAACTTTTTTGGAAAGTAAATATAAATGCTGAAATCAGTATCCGTCCGTATCAATCAGTATCCGTCCGATTTAAAAAAACTATCCATATCTGACATATATCCAAACACTATCCATATACGTCCATATCCGGATATATACGCGGATATCCTGACATTATTCGTACCTGGGTGCAAGTCTGCTCCCGACCTTGGGTTAGCTCATGCTCAATGATGTAAATAAATCTATTCATTTCATCCAAATACATATATTTACTAATTAATAATAGGAAATGCCAAAGCTTATTAGTTCAACTGAATTTTACGAACAAAGTGCACAATTCTGTCAATTTACTTATCGTGATGCTAAATATTTTCTTGTTCAGAAACTTGTTTGTATTGGAATTTTTAAAGCTTTACCTGTTTTTCCAAAACTTGATGTCAAAGATCAAGTTTGTTATTATTATTTATGTCAATTTCTTTCAAGTTACAACCTCTAAGAACTCCTGACTCCCGGTATTCCCGACTTAGGCCAGAATATTTTATACTTAAAAGATATCATTTTCTAAATTTAATAGTTATTTTTATTAATAGTTATTTTATGTTTTTCTAAATTAAAGAACATGAGATTTAATTAAACACACGTAGAATAGAAGTCATATTTACAGTGGCGGAAATTTAAATAGGGAAAGGGTAAACCCTATGTAATTCCGTTCATCTTTATCCGATCTGGCAGATCTAAATTTTAAAAAATAGCTTAATTCCTATCTCACTTGACATGTTGTTTTTTTCTCACATTTTTGTATGTTTTTTTTGTATGTTTTTTTCTCACATTTCGAAAACTTTTCGACCGGTCTAACAGGTACTACATTTTCGACTTTTCAGAGAAATTTTTTTGAAGTCTGTAAATTTTATATGTGATTCTCCTAAAGATTCTGAATACAATGCTAAAAACCGCATCCAAATCGGTCGAAATTCTACCGAGTTATGAATTTTTGAAAATCGAAAAACACCCATTTTTGCCATTTTTTGTCGATTTTTTTTGCGAAAATGGGTGTTTTTCGATTTTCAAAAATTCATAACTCGGTAGAATTTCGACCGATTTGGATGCGGTTTTTAGCATTGTATTCAGAATCTTTAGGAGAATCACATATAAAATTTACAGACTTCAAAAAAATTTCTCTGTAAAGTCGAAAAAGTAGTACCTGTTAGACCGGTCGAAAAGTTTTCGAAATTATTATAATTTTGAAAAACGCTGAAACATATCAAGTGAGATAGGAATTAAGCTATTTTTTAAAATTTAGATCTGCCAGATCGGATAAAGATGAACGGAATTACATAGGGTTTACCCTTTCCCTATTTAAATTTCCGCCACTGTATGCAAAAAAGATCTTTTTCTTAAATGCAGCACCGCCGCTCAATGAAATATAATTATAGAAATTTTTGGGAGAATATTTAAAATAAACTCATGCCTTTTTCGGTGTCTTCTGTTAATCTTATGACTGTTTTCAGGATTAAGTGAATGGGAATAACAGATTTAAATATTCACACAATTATTTTTGTAATAAATATGTTGCATGAGAGACTAAATAATTTAGAGAACCAATATTTTAAATTTTAATAATAACTTTATTAATTTAATAATACGTTAATGATTAAAGTTAGTTATTTTGGAATATGTTGAACATGCAGTATTATTGCTTTGCAGTTGCTTTGTTTCATATGAATTAAAATCTCGTACTATGATAGGAAAAGATGGGTTTTATCTAATGGCTGCTTTCACTGATCAATTTAGTTTTAAAGATGATAAAACGTAAATAAAAATATATTTAAAAAAATATTTGGTAGATATTTCGATTTTGATTCATCTTTTTAATTTAATTCGGAATGTAATTGGAAAAAACCCCCTAAGTCTTTTTTAAAAAATTATGTTATTTTAATTTTAAGTCTCTTCTCTCTGGCAAATAAAGCATTCAGTAAACCGATAGAACCTTTTTTTCGTATTGGAATTTCTAAAGAAGAAGTTAGTTTAATTTTGGCAATTACTTTTTTAAATCCAGGTATTTTAATTAGAATATTTAAAAATAATTTTAAAAAATTAAAAAAAAAGATATCCCAAATTTGTCAGAATCAGGGAGAAATATTCTTTCAAAGGAATTTTCTTATTATTCAAGAATGTTACTAAATTATTTACATAATAAATTGGGTATAGATGCTGGAACTAAAAAATATGCTGAATGTATTCATTTAATTTCAAATTCTTTTCTTGCAACAAATAACTTAATTTTATTAATGACATATCAAGAAGCTTTCTATAAACGCACACCAGTAAGCAATGTAATGCCAAATTGTCTTAAATATAAGTATTATGGTTAACAAATCTGAATGATAACAAAATCCGAAGTAGTATTGTTTGTGGATTTGCTATCAACTTAGAGTGCTTAATTCTTAATTCATATTAATTCTATCAATTTTTTCTATCAATATTTAATCTGCTTGCATTTATTGATTGTAATCAGAGCTTCGATCACGAATTCTAATCAATTATTTTTTGATGTTGTCTATCAAAGTTTAGATAAATTTTAATATTTTTAAAATTAATTAACGTTTAACCGGAATAATTCATTAAATATTATCTTTAAAAGTTAGTATAAACAATCATCAAAAATTAAATTTTATTCAATTTACAAGAAATATTAATTTAATAATCATCATTATAAAAAATTTGTGAATATAAAATATTAAATTTTCTTAAAAGATGTAGATTGACCGTCAGAATTTTTATTAATTAATTACAATTAGTTGGAAGTGTATTCAGCTGCGTTAGTCTTGATGGTAAAATAGGGTGATGTTAAATTAAGTTCCATATCTATTTTTAATAATATTAGAATGATTTTTTGCTGTCAATATCATAAAAGGCGATAATAAATTTAGGAAATGTTCATTATAATTATTTCAAGATTATGAATAATTTAAAAATTAATTTCAATATAAATATTTTCTGTCTTTAGAAATATCCTTTTGTTATAAACTTCGTTTTAGAGTTCATAAACATATTTTATTTAGGTATTACCTTAATTATACTTTAAAATCTAAGCATATTTATTAAATTTATATTTAAAAATTATATAATATATACTTTATATTTAAACAATTAAAAAATTAGAGTTATTTGACTTAAAAAAATATAAAATTATTGAGAATAATTAAGTTACAAGTATGATTAATAATTAAATTAATAGCATATATTAATTTAAAAATAAATTTATAAGCCCAGAAATACAGTAGCTTCGAGTATTTCGTCCCAGTAATTTTTTAAAATATTTCAATATCAATTAAATTTCAAATTAAATTTAAATTCCGAACACCATATATTATTTGAGTTTTTAAAAATTTAATTTATATTACTTTTTCGTATACTATTTCATTTAATATTCTATACTAGAATTTTATTTTCGTAATCATTATACCTAATTAACTTTCTTTATTTGAATTTTAAATATTAATTTAAAAATATAAATTTTCAGTTTATACATAGTATAGTATTATATAAATAAAAAATACAATTATATTAAATATCATAATAAAATTTTTTATGTTTATTACAAAAAATAATATTAGTTTAAAAAATTTGTTGGAAACCGTAAGTTTTTTGTTCCCTTTGTTGACATTTTTGTAAATTCATTTTTAATATCATTTTAATTATAATCAATAAATACGAATCATATTTTTATAAATTATAAATAAATTTAGTAATACTACTGTATATTTTTTAATTATATTTTATTTATTTTTTTAATTAAAATTTATGGCACAATTCGAAGATAAACTTTGTTATGCTTTAACTCTAAATTATTAAATAAAAAAATAATTTTAATTAGTATATTTTAATCAATTAGATAAAAACTTTTTTGTCATTGATAAAATTAATTTAAATTTTTTTAAATTTTATTTTGTTTAAAATTTTATTTGGTTTTAAATTAAAGCTAATTAAATTAATTTATTTAATTCAAATTTTTTTAAAAATATTTTTTTAATTTTATTTTTTAAATATGTCACGTAGAAATATAATTATTCTTATTTTATCATAGAATAAGTATTTTGTTGGCATTGTTTTTTCTACATTGTCGATATATTCGTTTCATGTATACTAGATATACTCCTGCGAAAAATCTAAATTTAATTTATTATTTATTTAAAAATTAATCTCTAATTCTTCAATCAATTTATTTTTACAGATTATTATTTTTTTAATCATATAATTGTTGTTGCTGAAGTTATCGTAAGTTTTTTGAAGCCCAGTTGTCCATTAGTGGCGTCAAATATGGTGTACATGTATGCCGTATTATTCACTGGTTTCATTTTTATTCACCATAGTTGGCAAATAAATTCCTGCCCATGAGGGTATATGTAGATACACTGCTTTGAAAAATATAAATTTAATTTATTAGTTATTTAAAAATTTATTCTTAATACTTAAAACAAAATGTGAATTCTTTGTGCTTGTTAAATTTAATCTTTAACATGTAAAAAAATTATAATTCTAAAATGGCTTCCTTGCACACTTCTTCCTTTTTGTAAATATTTTTTAAGTTTATAAAATTTAGATTTAATATTATTAGAATTATTTTAAAAATTAATGTTGTCTGAACTCGACAATTTAATTAATTAACTAAATTTTATTCTTTAAATTTAAACCTACAGTCGAATCGTGAATAAAAGCTTTATTTAATTTTACTTGAGATAGAAAGAGTAGATGATTTTAGGGAAATTGGCCAGTTTAAATAGGGGAAAATTACATCAGTATTTTAAGGAATAAATGTTAAATGTTAGAATTTAACAGGTGAAGATGACACATGGAAATAAAAAACGGTATTTTGGAATTTAAAGATTGAAAAATTGTGAAAATTAGAAAAATATGAACATAAAAATGTATTCAACAAAAAATGAGTAATTCGGAAAATGTCATTTAAATCGCATTAAATTATTTTATATGTCGATCCTCGACAAATGTCTAAATCCTAAATATTCGATATTTTTATGTAGCCAGACTAATTATTAACTGATAAAATAATTCTACTTTATTTTTTTTTAATTTTATTGAATTTTGATTTATCTTTTAATTTTAAAAATAATTTTTAATTTTTAACTAAATACTACATAAATATTATAGAAAGTTAATGTAATAAATTTATATTTATTTCTTCCTACAACAATTTTTAGGGCTAGGCTTATCTATAATTATGCACTAACAATAATAAATCAATTTAACTATAATAAAAATAATTACATTTTATTATCTTTTAAAATTTAAAGACAGTAAAACAAAAGGTTTAAATGATTGCTACTTAAAAACATTAAAAATAGAAGAATTTCTTTTGGCTTTATAGCCAACATATTTACTAAAAATTATCTAACAGAAGTACATCATGAAAAGAAAGAAGAATAGCCAAAAAGGCAAATGATTCACAAATATTACATTATTATCACAAAATTATTAAACTTTTTTTAAAATAATAAATTAATTAAATTTTCATTAAAATTTCATTGATATCTTTTTTCAATAAAGAGGTTTTGTTCATCATCACTATCTAAGACTGATCTCCTCTATCAATTGAACATCTCTTCTATTGCTTACTCTAAATTAAATCTCATTTTTAATTATATATAATTTTAAAATAATAATTATAAAATAATTATTAAGGATCTCAACTTTAACGGCAATTGATTTATTTATAAAATTTATTTTTTTTTAATTTTTATAATTGATTATTAAACAAATAATTTTTTCTTTTGGAAAAATTAATTTTTAATGGTCGATGCATATTCACGTTACCCATTTGGATTTGAAATGCATAGCCCAACCTCAAAGTTCTATTATAGAAAATTAAAAATTTTATTTTCAATGTTTGGTCAATTCAAAATGTTTGATTAGTGACAACGGTCCGCAATTTGTTTCTCTCGAATTTGAAAGTTATTTGGAAAATTCTGGCATAATCCATTTAAAATCTTCACCTTATCATCCCTAATCAAATGGTCTATGTGAAAGATTCGTAAGAACATTTACTTATAAAAACTGAGTAGTAAAAATGGCAGAAAATTATGTTTTTTATTCTATACTTTTTTATTAATGTTTTCGAAGATTATAATTCATCAGTTATATTACTATTTAAAATAATAGAATATAATTTTTTACTACCCTGAAATGCAAATAAATTTTTAATGTATTAAATATCAAACTATTAAATATATAATTTTGAAATTCTTAAAATTAATCAAATTATAGAATGCTTCTGTGCGGTTTTAACACAACATTCGTGTAGTTCTTTATACATAGAGACTCACTTTATAAATTTAGTTATTAAACAAAAAATTTAAATTCTTCTCTACCAAATCTTAATATGAAAATTCAATTAAACTCAAAAAATTTCATCTCTAAAATTATTGCAATGTTTAATTCATCATTTTTAAATTTTTAATTGAATTTTTTCTGTTAATTTATGTATGATAGTTAATATTAAAATAAGGCGTTGTAAATATGCATATACCCTCAAATTGTTTTTTACTTGATTTCCTCAAATTAATTCATTAATTTTTTATCAGAAAATTTTTTATTAAATTAAATATATATCTCTTAAAAATAAATTTATTTTAATTAACTGGTAAAAGGATCAAACGCAAAGGAAAAAAATTTTTCAGAATTTCTCGTTATTTTTATTTATTTATAGAAATAATATAGAAAATTTTCATTGAAAATTATGTTTATTGAAAATATAGAAAATTTTTATTGAAAAATTTATTGAAAAATTTTTTAAAT